GAGCCAATTTTTGAATGTTCGTGCAGGTTCAACATTGAAACTGAATTCAGCAAACAAGCTAGTAGCAGCATCTGTGGAAGAACATGGAGGCCCAACTGTTGTCTTATTCACCGACACTGCGCTTCAAAGATTCAGTAGGCCACACTTGAGCTTCCTCGAACTGCCTCCCTTGTTATTGTAAAATTACTTGAAGTTGCTCTGTCGAAATTGACAACGTGGGTTCGGGTTGCCGCCAGCTGTTGGGTCTTGCGAACGGTGGTGCAACACCTATATCGGTCCTTGGTTTACCGTTCGCTACTATGGTACATAAAAACACGATAGCCTGATAGAGTCCTCTGTGGGAACATCGAAAATCACAACTGCATTCATGGGATTATCGCGAAACGTTCCGGAAAAGTCCACTGGACTCTTCACGAGGGGGCGAGAAGCGCCAAAGTAGAAATGCTAAATCCTGATTGGCTGACGTTCTAGCAAACCTGGGCATGCTCTCACTCGCTCAGTAACCGGGTCGTCACACCCGTCCAATGAAACTGAGTGTAGCTTTTGGCTTATGTACTGATACTTTTCTTCTGAGAGGTTTTCGTGAACCATCAAACCAGTTCGCCATAGAATAGGTCGATTGAACACATCGATAGTGTGCTTAGTGACAGACCGGATTGACAAATATTCGGGAAAGCATATGGTCGGGGTATTGTGGTCAAGGAAAGGAAAGATGCGCCAAGAGTGTGAACTCGTTTCAGATTTCCTTAATAAGCTATATTTCGTGTTGCTCAATTTCTACCTTCATAAATTTTCAGTTCTATGGGTGGATGTAATCAAATAGCCTTTGGGCTATTTGGACAAAGACAGTCATGAAAGCCACAAAAACCAGCGCGTTCTAGAGCTCGGTAAGTAGGTATCCGTCAATTCGCCGCCATTCAGTTTTGAGAGTCGAAGGAGGTTTAAGTCTGTTGCGTTCATGTTGTGATGAGAGGTAGAACATTTGGGCTTCACACCGTACTAATGTGGGTGAAGGCTACCCATATCAATTAAGTAGCCTGATGACCCACCTAATGTGTATTCAGGCACAGGACTTTCGTCAGCTAGGTTCTACGGATGACTGGGAGATAGTGCAGCCGGACATCGGATAATGCGTCACGTAATATTATGCATTCCTGTGGTAACATCTGGTCCCCACCTCATTGTCTGTCAGTCTTGTTTGAATACATCTCACTAAAAACCGTCACCACCCGGATATGCACACTTGAATCACGAAGGTTTATGACCAGAGAAATGCCTCGTCCAACTCCATCACCATTTCTGAAGCATCAGTGGTCGCGCCACCAAAACGTAACGACTTTATTACCAGCTTATACTCTAAATTCTGTGTCAAAATGAAAAACAGGAAAATGAACGACGGCGTTTACTTCGACTCATGGTTTGGAGACTGATAACTGGCCAGTTTATGCGTTATCATGCTAAAACATAAATATAACCCAGTGCCGCAGCTGACTCGTAAACTAAAGCACAAGATACTCACACAGCTCCCTCCGAGAAGGTTATCCCAACACTAATGAAGTCATAATATGGGACACCATCCCAAGCACGCGGGCTCACCAAAAAAATATAGGTGGAACATCCTGAAAGACGACAAGAAGGGGTAAATTATTCCCTGAAATTAAAGTCATTATTATGAAAAAAAGGTAGCCGTGTGTAAAATGATTTGTTGGAAAAAGAGGTATCGGTAGATAGAACAAGAATTGACGGTGCGATCGTGGTTAGTTGTGTTCTTCTTTGATAAAAGGAGCTCACTAACAGTCAAGTGCCTAATTTGGTGGTGGTATCTGTAGAATGCTTTTCATCAACTTCAGTGGTCATTCGTGTAAGGATAAAAAAAAAAGATAAAGTGTTCAGCTGTAGCACCCTTCCGGTGCCTAGCTGCCATGCCACCCGAAGGAAGCACGAGGGCTGGGATACTGCCAGGTTGCCCAAGCCTAGACAGGGGAAGTCGAGTGGCGGAGGTCGGATTCGAACCACGGATCTTCCGGTCAGTAAATTCGCGCTCTAACCACTTGGGCCATCTCGCCCAAGGTACCTGCCGCACGACCAAATACCCGTTTTCTAATCACCTCGTTATGAATTCGTTGACGCCATCCGTCAATATCAACGCTTCTGAGGCATTGATGGTCCAAAACCTGAAGACGACTCCGACAATCTGTCCGCAGAAGCCGTCTTGCAACCACACAACAGTGTAGTCCTTACTGTAGCTTTCGTCTTCAAGGATGGGGACGATGTTGACCGCGTACTCCAGGTAGAAAAGATTCTCACTAGCGACATCGAGTTTCAAAGACCTTCCAAGGTTCTCCTCACGCTCTCATCGCTGACAGTGTCAAACAAAGTTGAAGAGCGGGGGTATCCTTGTCGGATACGGTTTTTTGTGGGATGCTTCTAGAGAGCTTCACATATACCCGCACACACTAGAAAGTAGGTGAACACGAGGATCGGTTTATGTTGACAAACTTCTGTTGAGCGAATGTGGTTAACAGCACAGATAGGCCGATACAATCAAACGCACCCTTGAGATCCAGAGAACACCAAGATTGTGCATCGTCTATACGAATGACGTTGCTTTAACACCTGAAGGAGTGTGATTCACGCAGCCTCTACCCGTTCGAAATCCCGCTTAATGCTTACGAGTGGAAGATTCGCATACCGCCGCAGCGTTCAGCTGTAGCACCCTTCCGGTGCCTAGCTGCCATGCCACCAGAATGAAGCAGGAGGGCTGGGATACTGCCAGGTTGCCCAAGCCTAGACAGCAGAAATCGAGTGGCGGAGGTCGGATTCGAACCACGGACCTTCCGGTCAGTAAATTCGCGCTCTAACCACTTAGGCCATCTCGCCCCCTAGCCTGGATAACGGTGCATTTTCAAATGATGTACTTGCAATGGATGTGATAAACACAAAGGTTTTAGTTTTACTCCCGTTGTAACAAGGCGTCTGGCGTCATACCGCCGCAAGAGGACTAAGAATCAGTGACGCCAGATGCCTTGTTACAACGGGAGTAAAACTAAAACCTTTGTGTTTACCACATCCATTGCCAGTACATTATTTGAAAATGAGCACCACTATCCACTCACTTCGGTTGTCCAGGAGGGTCTCTTGCTCCAAGATGGAGGCGAACAGGAACAGGCTGAGAAGTTCGCGGGCCTCCTTGCACAGAGCAGGTGGAAGTTCATGGGGATCCGAAGCACGAAGATTCTTGGGTAGAGCTATACTCTCAAACGATTTTCAGTCCGATAGCCCAGAATGGAATTTGCAGGTTACCTGCTGAATTGCTGTTCGAAGTATCGTCCCCAATGGTCCAAACTTTCTTTGTTGGGTATTGGGGAGCAATTTTGGTTCTTGATACCTTGGCTGAAAAGGAGCTTGCAAAAACCAGTCGAGGGAATCAAGCGGAACAACCTGCGAACGCTCTCAGCATTTTTCGCACCTTTCATTTCTCGCGGCCTTCCTGACCCATCAACCCTCCCAGTGTGTACCGGCACCCAGTTGCATCTGGTGTTGGATGAGGTGTCTGATGGAGTAGTGGCCCCAACACGGAAGAATCGGCTGTCTGCCCTCCAGAAGGGTGACCGTCCCATCAAAATGCAGTGCTTGGATGAAATTAGCTGGCTTGTACGCAGGTAGAATTTCCGACAGTATGTAGCGCTTTCAAAGTCTCCACTGATCGTTCATATCTGACATCGGAAGCGGCCAGCAGGCATTGGAGGACCTGGTTCTGATGGGTCTAGGTTCATTAACAATGGTTGAGCGAGATACGGCGTTTTACGCGTTGAAAGGCTCGCCAAAAGCATTCAGCAACAGGTGCATGATTGGAGTCCACGAAGGTATTCTAGAAGAAACGACAGGCAATGGTTGAACCTCGCTGCCGGTTTGTTTCGGTTGATTGGTGAGCATCATGTAGCTAGACATCTCCACTGTTCCGAGAATTGGTACTGTAAAGCAACAGCCCATGATCGATTCGCATCTGAAGCAGACATACTCAGTTGTCCGTGATATCCATTCCAAGGTGACCAGCCGACAGGACCTAAAAAGCACTTGGTCTGCCTGAGCGTTCATGTCGCTAGCCACTACAACAATGTCTGGGATATTAGACCGTTATAAAAGAGCACCTAGAGCGTCATAGGAATTGTCCTCGGTAGATTCAAAGCTGTAGTCCGTCGAGACATAAGCAACCACTAGAGACAGGGTGCAACTGACCTCACTTTCTCGAGATTCTGTCACGAGCATTGCCAAACAAACCGCACAGGCTATCAACCGGAATCTAGCCAAGTGGAGAGGCTTCCGTTCTCGACAAAACCCGTCCTCAGTTCCAAAACTGCAGGCTGTCAGGGCACATGCTAATACCACAAATAAAAACCTTTACCGTATCGACCTGAATTGATCTCAAATGAATCAGATGACCGTACAGCTTAAAGAGGACTGTGTACTGGGATTCAGTCTAATAAAGAGATTCCAGCCTTAAAACTGAGTACAACTCTACACTATGGATGCCACCAGTCATTGCGTTAGGATCACCAGATACCCGTAGAGGGAAATATGGAGCATTTGAGATCGTCGTAAGCGACTTGAGCTGCTCGATCCAGATAGAGTCTTGTGTTTAGGAGACAAAATGCATCGACGGAGAGGGAAAGCATGGTTTCACTAACAAATGCCAGTTGCTTAGTTTAACGTAGAGTACGGACATTGAAGGGTGAAGTGTGGATGAGATACTTTGAGGTCAGTGAGTATTTTGGCTTACATTTCTGAGCGGCAGTTTATACACGGAACAATGACTAGAAGACCGGCAGATGGGTTGATCACACTCCATCATTCAATGGGTTTGGGGAGTATGGGGGAGGGCCAGTAAGCGTAGAGCTCAAAGGGTGGTTGATACCCCCGGGTTACCCTAGCCGCAGGTGGGTTGGTTGAGGTAACCCACCATTAGCATTTAACACAAAAGTCTGATCCACTAGGCAGTCGGACTATGTCGGGTTTTGTTCGGGGACCCCACCCCTAGCCTCTGACTCAAAAGTCCGATTCGCGAGACAATGGTTGTTAGGGTTCTCTTGGGGGGGGCTTCCCGGAGTCAGTGACTATATAGTCTGACTCACTTGGCTGCAGGAGGCCGGTTTGCCCGAGGACGCAGAGAGTAAGGCATAACTGTCTCACTCCCAATGTGGCTGTACATATTAGGTGCATTCTGGGCAGCACCAGACTAGTTGGTTTTAAAAGTACTCAAGGATGTGCCGGCGGTCAACCGGCGATCGGAGGGGGCTTCCCGGAGTCAGTGACTATATAGTCTGACTCACTTGGCTGCAGGAGGCCGGTTTGCCCGAGGACGCAGAGAGTAAGGCATAACTGTCTCACTCCCAATGTGGCTGTACATATTAGGTGCATTCTGGGCAGCACCAGACTAGTTGGTTTTAAAAGTACTCAAGGATGTGCCGGCGGTCAACCGTTGGGCGATCGGAGTGTGCGGCATTTAGGACCGACTTTTTCTCGACGGAAAGCATAATTACTGCTTCCATAATTATGGCGATGTTTCGCCTGAAGAGAGCGCCTTACTGCCTTCTCACTTTGTTAGGAGTCACTCCTAACGAACATATTGCTCAACAAGAACTTCTGCATCGTTTACATTGCGTACTCGAGCGGATTCAACAATATGGTTTTCGTCTACGTGCAGAGAAGTGCGCATTTTTTCTCACTTCTATCAAATATCTTGGATTTATTTTTGACGAACATGGTCGTCATCCAGAACCAGAACATATTTCTGCCATACAACAAATGTCAGCACCGACGAATTCAGCAACCTTGCGCTCCTTTCTCGGTTTAGTAAGCCATTACAGTTCATTTTTGCCAGACATGCATCGTGTCCGTGAACCACTTAATCATCTTCTAAAAAAGGATGTGCCTTAGAACTGGTCACATCAGTGCCAGTCCGCTTTTGACAAAGTAAAGTCGTTTCTCAGCTCTGATCTACTACTCACACATTACAATCCAGCCCTGGACATTACTGCTGTTTCAGACGCATTCAACTATGATACTGGAGCTGTCATCTCTCACGTTTTCCCCGACGGAAACGAAAAA